GATAAAAAAGCATCAAAAGCACAAAGATTCTTCAATGAAGATCTGGTTTTGATTCTAGAGGTTGGATCAGTAATTATGTTCTCAATGGGATGAGAACTTTGATACTTGTAAGGTTTCACAACCAGTTGGTTTCCTCTAGATGTTCCTTCAATGGTTTCCTCTAGATGTTCCTCTTTGTTCTGCTCCCCCTGTCATGTTGCCCTGGGTGGAAGGACCTGTTCCATCGCCTGTTCCTTCCTCTGGTACAACTTCAGTCTGGGTTGTGGCTTCATTTAAATTTCTTACCAGCCCAATTGCTTCATTAACATGTTCCTGTCTCTCAAAAAGAATATTAGTTTCATCAAAAACCACATGAACACTTTCTTCAACACACATAGTTCTTTTGTTATAGACTTTATAAGCTTTGCTATGTGAAGAATATCCCAAGAATACTCCCTCATCACTTCTTAGATCAAACTTAGGGAGTCTTTATCATTATTGTGCACAAAGCACTTGCATCCAAATGCCCTAAGATGGGATATGTTTGGTTTTCTTTCTTTAAGTAACTCATAGGGAGTCTACTCTACAAGAGGTCTAGTCATGCACCTATTTATGATGTAGCATGCAGTATTTACAACTTCTGCCCAAAAGCTATGGGGCAGTTTACTAGAAAGAAGTATAGTCCTAGCCATATCTTCAAGTGTCATATTATTTATTTCAACTACTCCATTTTGTTGTGGAGTCCTAGGAGCAGAAAAATTATGATCTATGCCATGCTCATCACAAAATTCAGCAAATTTTGCATTTTCAAATTCAGTACCATGATCAGACCTAATTGATGCAAGTTGATTACCTAGTTGTTTTTGAGTTTTTCTAACAAAAGAAGTGAACATGTCAAATGCTTCATCTTTAGATGTTAAAAATAATGTCCAAGTAAACCTAGAGTAATCATCAACAAGCACCATCACATATCTTTTACCACCTCTGTTTAATGTTCTCATTGGACCACAGAGATCCATATGGACCGGTTTCATCGTTCTGGTGGTACTTACCACTTTCTTGCATTTAAAGGAGGATCTTACCTGCTTCCCCCTTGCACAAACTTCACAAACTTTGTCTTCCTTGAACTTGATGTTAGGCAGTCCTATCAACAAGTCCTTGGAGACTAATTTGCTGAGTTGACTCAGACTTGCATGTCCAAGTCTCTTGTGCCAAAGGAGGGGATCATTGCCCAATACACTTAAGCAAGTGAGTTCATTTTCTGACAGTGTGGACAGATCTACAATATATATATATATATATATATATATATATATTGTTCACTCTTTTTCCCTGCAAAACAATCTTGTCAGTGGTAAGAAAAATCACAAAGTATTTAGTAGAGGTGAATGCTACCAAGTTACCTCCATCACACAGTTGTGATACACTAATTAGACTGTATTTTAGGCTGTCTATCAAATAAACATTCTCAATCGAGTGAGAGTCAGTCTTACCTACCTTACCAACCCCAATGATCTCACCTTTCTTCCCATTTCCAAAGGAGACATTACCTCCTTTGAGGTCTTCAAGTGAGAGAAACTGGTTCTTGCTTCCTGTCATGTACTTTGAGCAGCCACTATCCATGTACCATTTATGGTTGCTCCCCTTCACTTGGACCTGCAAAAGGAAATCAAGGGTTAGTCTTAGGAACCCAAACTAGTTTGGGTCCCTTTCCATAGGAAAAAAGGATGAATCAAATTCTTTTTATCCCAACTTGGCAGCCTATTTTTCCCTTGAGCAAACTTTTTATTCTTTTGACTAGCCTTTTCTTTTGCAGTGCATTCACTTTTATAGTGACCAGTCTTACCACAGTATGTGCAAATTTATTCTCGGGAAGCGTGAGATACTTGCTTTTGGAATCCCATTTAGGTGGCAGATTCCCAAAGCCAGTTCCTCTTCTATTGCTACTATGATGTTCCTGTAGCCATGACAGTGCATCGGAGGACCTGTTCCATTTACAAATTCCGTCTAGTTTATGTTTGATCTTGCCTAGATCCTCTGTCAAAATTCTTACCTGCTCATCCTTCTTATACAACTCATCTTTTAGTTTACCTACATTTTCTTCTAGAGTGAGTTGTGTGCAATCAACTGTCTTCTTACTTGTTCCTAATTTCAGTTTTAGGTTTTCAGATATAAGTTCCAGGACATTCGATTCAAATGCATGAACCTGGTTCTTTAGAGCAATATTTTCACTTACAGTCTCACTAACTCTAAGTTCCAGGTTCTTACACTTTACTTTTAAAATCACATATTCCTTAGACAGTTGTTCCTTTTCATTGTTTATATCCTCAGATTCATCAATGAAATCTAGAAGTAACTCAGATAGCCTTTCTTTAGACAAAAACTTAATCTTGTCTTTTAGATGGATTATACTTACTTCAGATTCCTCATCGGATTCTCCAATTGCCATAAGTGCTTGTTCATCTCCATCTTCATCATCTGAGTCCTCATCTGAGCTTTCTCCCCAAGCAGCAACCATAGCCTTTATTGATCCTTTGTTCTTCTTGGGATGGACATGTTCCTTCTTTCTTTTTCTTCGTTCAGCTCTTTCCTTCTTCCATTCAATTTTCTATTGAGGGCAGTTTTTGATGTGGTGATCAGTTTTTCCACACTTGTAGCAGCCCTCATTGGTCTGTTTTTCAGTAACCCTTGGTTTGCTGTAGCGTCCACTTCTTGAAGAACCCTTTCCTCTCATTAGGTACTTCTTGATGTCCTTTGTGATCATAGCCATTTCATCTTCTAGATCAGAACCTTCAGTGATTCTGAGTGCCAGGCTCCTTTCCTTCTTGGGTATATCCATCTTCATGGTTTGCCTTCTAAGTTCATAAGCAATGAGATTTTCAATTAGCTCATCCAACCTAAGAGTGGCAATGTTCTTTGATTCCTGAATGACAGTGATTTTGCTTTCCCAAGTAACTAGCAGAACCCTTGTCAAAATCTTCTCAACTCTGTCTTCTTCAGAAATAATCCTTCCAAGAGATTTAAGTTTATTTGTCAGTGTGGTGAACCTTGTATACATCTCTTGGATGGTTTCCCCTTCCTTCATGGTGAAATTCTCATATTGAGAATATAGTAGTGTTCCTCTGGACCTCTTCACTTGAGGTGTTCCTTCATGGGCCGCTTGCAAAGTGTCCCAGATTTTCTTAGCAGTGGTACAACTTTGGATTCTACTGTATCTGGACCGAGTCCACAAACAAGTCATTTTTTGGCTTTAGCATTCTTCTCCCATTTTTTCAAGTCGTCAACAGTGCAATCAACTCTTGTTTTTGGCACCTCTTCTCCTTCAGCATTTATCTTCATGGTAGCCAATTGACCATCTTTGACAATGTCCCATAACTTATAGTCTTCTCCTATGATGTGATCTCTCATCCTGTTTTTTCACCAAGAGTAATATTGGCCGTTGAAGAGTGGTGGCCTAGCAGTGGATTGCCCTTCCCAGTTTCCAGGTGGTGCACTCATCTTGATCTTCTCCTAAGGTGTTAGCCTCTTCAAGGATAACCTGCTTTGATACCAATTGATATTTTAACTTCAATACCACACAAGATGTGGTGTCCAATTTTTCGCGTGCACAGATTATAGAAGGACCTGGTTCTTCTATGTTTTCCTTATACTATTGTTGTGCAATAATAAATGTAGAAATTAAAGAACACAAGTATTTTACGTGGAAAACACATGGCTCAAAAGGTGAAAAAACCACGACCTACTTCCCAGTAGGATTTTTCCAAACTCTCCACTAAATCACTGAGCCAAAAACTGTATTTACAAAATACTTTTGTAAACCTAGGATTAATTCTAATCCCGTTGTGGCAACCAGCCTCTAACTGCTGCGATAACTTCAAGTTAACTCTTACTTGAATACTCTGAGTACCTATTAAAAATGCCTCTAGATAAAGCTGAAAGGTATAATATGAAAACACCTACTACAATTGAACTAGAATAAAAGACAAACACTTGGAGCTGGTTCTTCTATCTGGTTCATGTAGCTTCAGGTTCGCACACTTGAATCACACACGAACTGCTTGCAAAATGCCTTGCTATTTTGCTCTCAATTCACGTTTAACTTCTGCTTTTGTGCGTCTCATGTAGAATGAGAACATCCTGCGATTTATAGAGTTAGTAGAGTAGAAAATAACTAGAGTTCTAATGCTACTCTTCTTTGGTGGAAGAGTTCTAGTTGATCTCAACCTCTAACTCCTCCCTTATCTTGGATAGTGTTCTCTTTGATTAAGGAGTCCTTCTCCTTATTAATTATGCAACCCTTTTCGATCAGGAGATATTAATTAGACCAAGTTAAGCTTATCTCCTTCACGTGCATTCCACATGCTCAAATCTGCCTGTGTCTTTGCACACAAGGGATGGACCTGGTTCATGCCTGAGCTTCCTTTGTCAATCTTCAAAACTAACCTTCACTTAGGCCAATACTATCGGAAATAAATTCTCTACTTTCACAAAGTAAAAATAAAATCTGCATGCACACTACCCTCTTCGACCCCCACTTGTCTGATTGTCGAGAGGGGTCTGTTGTCCTCCTCACTATAGTCCACCTAGGATCCAAAACATTTCGTCGAAACCTAGGATCCAAAACATTTCGTCGAAATATATCCTGTCTTGTCACCTTAATAGTCCTATGCATACTTGGATGGCAAAAGTAGTCGATGCCAAAATACAAAACGCCTTAACTAGTAACATATAAAGAATTAACTAGTAAAATATAAAGAAACTAGTAACATATAAAGAATTAACTAGTAAAATATAAAGAAAGATCTGTATATCAATTAGATAATCCCACATGCCTTGTAAAGGCAAAACCACTCTTATATAAGGGGTGTCAATTAACACACTTCATTTCTCAAATATTACACTTCGCTCGAAAATTATACCCAGGTAGTAAAACCAGGTAATATGTTTTACTACGCCTCGAGGTTAAGGTTATTACATGCCATTAACATACTTCAAGAACCAAACAAGTGAACATTGTAACATAGAATTAATCAAGTATTTAGGACTACTGGATTCATTTTTTATAGACAATCTTTACAACGATTAGACACTAGGCAAGACCAATTCTAGTACAAAGACTTAGAAAAACATGGCAAAATAAAAGTTCAATTCCAGGCTATTGCCCTGCTTATTACAATGCTTTATATATATACTCTTAATAATAGTCTTTGCCAACTCTTTTTATTAGGAGCATTCATCTGCAGTTCACATTGCAACTATTCTTCCTTTAACCATCCCTCAGCTTCCATTTGTATCTTGGCACAATAATCAAACAAACTTCCGTCGAAACAGCGCCTTATCGCTTCTTTAGATAAAAACCCATCTTGATCTCTAGCAAGAACATACAGAATTCCCCACTCCAGTTTAGCTGCAATCCTGCACAATTACACAGCAAACAACGATTGAGAAATTTATACACGAATGGCGATAAAGAAATCGCCGTTCATTTGAGACAGTAGTACTAGGGCGCGCAGAGCTAAAATGAGAGCATTGGAGCCTGAAGAGTTACCAGCCAAAAAAGTCGAACGACTCCCTGCTGCCTTCAGTCATGTCCCAGAGTTCTCCAAGAGTAAGCTTATCAGGCAACGTACGAGCATACTTGCTAAAGATGTTCTCAAAATGCACTGGGAAATACCTATAGGAGACGACCAGATAAACAAAAATCATCAACTTGACTTCCAAATGATGTTGAAAATATGAGTTAAAGAGGGATTGTAAACTTGTAATATACTAACCTTCCCTCTCTGTCGTAGGTGCGAGTATCACTTCCATGCTTGCACTTATGTATATTATGAATATATATTGGGAGAAATGGAGAAGGAAACCACCCCTGCAGAGTCGCATCGAATATCGCTTTAATGAAAAGAGAGTATATACACAACAACAATAATTATGTCTCAGTTCCAAACTAGTCGGAGTAAGTGAAGAGAGGATATATAAAATAGTAAATAACAAATAAATAACCTTAGCTCTATTGAATGCAATAACATATCTTAGGACAGATTAACTTACTGGCAAAGTAGGATAACTCAAAGCAGCATTGATGATAATGGCAATTATAAGAGATGCTATCATATTGAAACCGATTTGACGAAGTCCTGTTTAAGTTGAAAAGAAAAGAGCAGAGGAAGTTTCAGATTAAGCTTCCACAGATACCACAATCAAACACTTCCGGATAGTTAATGAATCACATCGAGGATATCTGCTGAATGAACTAAATTCTTGAACTGAACATGCTTAAATGTTTAAGTCTGAATGCTATAGATGACACATTTTCTCTGTAGAAATGCTCAATAAACCAGATCCTTACCTGCTTAAATTATTCAATATAAATTTTTCCCTAGTAGAATGAGGGATAAACAGATAGTAATACAGCCTAGCAATGCTTATAGCCCCTGAATTCGACAGCTGGAAAAGAGTTATCCGAGAGGCTGAATTACGGATCACCAAGTGGATTAATCATATAACACTAGAGTGTAGCTACATACTATCCGTTTTCAACAACTTTAATCCTCATATAGTCGGCGGCGGAACCTGAATTTTTACTAGGGGCGTCAAAATATTTTAAAAAAAATATATATACGAAGAAGTTCAGGAGATTCAAAATATATATAAGGTGGAAATTTACCTAACTACACCGTGCAACTTTTCAGTCAAAGGGGTGTTCCGCCACTTTATACTGTTACCTAAATCAGCAGTTAGACTAATTTCGAAATAGGATGATTACCTGAGTAAGTTTCCCATGGGTAAATAATGCCATTTTCATCCTGATCAAAGAAGGCGACATGCTGCTGCATAACGCTCAAGCCGTGGTGCCTGTGGCCAGGAGTTCCATGGGGATGCTCCATATCAGGAGCCACTAATCCCCTTGCCAGATCTGAATATACATACCACATCTTTAAACATTATATTATTATACAACAACAACAACAACAACAACAATCCCAATCCCATTAGTGGGGTATGGGGAGGGTAGTGTGTACGCAGACCTTACCCCTACCCTGGATAGAGAGGCTGTTTCCGACAAACCCTCGGCTCCCTTCCCTCCAAGAACTCACCACTTTGCTCTTGGGGTGATTCGAACTCACAACCTCTTGGTTGGAAGTGGAGGGTGCTTACCACTAAAGCAAGCCACTCTTGTCATACTATAATAACAATCTTTAAGCAAAAATCCCATACTTACACATAGAGGCGGAGCCATGATTTGAACCTTATGGGTTCGGAATTGTAATCTTTTTAAGTTATTAGGTTCTAAATTAATAAGTTGTACATATTCAATGGATTTTTTAAGACATATACAGTCAAACCTCTCTATAACAACGTCGTTTGTTCCGAATATTTTTGGATGTTATAGCGAAGTATTGTTATAGAGAATATATATTATAACATAACATAAAAATTGGTTCCGAAAAAGCTTGGCTTTTATAGTGAAGTGTTGTTATATAAGGATGCTGTTATAGAAAGGTCTGACTGTACATGGTTTGAACAAAAGCTACCGGGTTCGGCCGAACCCGAATCGAGCACTGTACCTCCGCCCCTGCTTACACAGTATGTGGTACTCCAAACTAACAAATCTACTAGTTGAAGTCTGAATCAGATGTTGAACAACCAAAACAGAAAGTTTACAACAATTTTCCACTTTTAGAAGAAGAGAGAGTAGCTAGGCAAAGGCAAGAAGTTCTATTTCTCCCTTCAATTAATAATTCTTCTAATCAGAAACTCTACCTCAATAAGGCTACATCGATACAAACTACTTCGATAGTGTGGTTCCAAGTTCAATTTTTTGAAGTTGTGGTTCGATAGTGTATTATTTCGGGTGAAATTTTTTAGGTCTTCAGCTTTTACTCTCAAATTTTAAACTTCCATAAATCCTCCAAAGTCAATAGATTGCTACTATTCAAATACATATTTTCCAAACTCAACTTCAGACAATTCTATTTTCCAAACTTCAATTTCATATGTTTTCCAAACCTCATTGTATCTACAAGTAGTCATTCCACTAAAAGAGAGTCACCATGTTCTATTCCCTGGGCGGATCCAAGATTATGGGTTCCCACAACGACCTAATATACCTCAACTTAACTTAATAGTTATCTCAGGTTAATAAACAATAATTTAACTTAATATAACGTGACCTCACTAGGTTCACAGTTAAATATTTAGATATTTAATAAATTTCTTAATATATATACAAGGTAGGGACAAAAACTACTAAATTCACGTGAACCCAAAATTCTCCTCGTAGATCCGCCCCTAAAATCTATTTTATAAGAAAAATGCACATATCATAATGCTAAAAAGCTATTAAGCATTATATATGTTGACAAACACGCTAAACTGAGTATATTTTAACTACTCTGAAGTTTTACTTGAAAGGTTTGCAAGTAAATTATCAAGAAAAGTGGAATTACTAACTCGAAAAATAAGACTAATTACCTTTTACAACAAGTTAAATTGCATTAATAATGTAAAAGTTACATTACACCATCTGTGGAATGACTTAAGTCTTCATTTGCAAACACAACACTACCCACATTAATCAGAAGAGAAAAACGAGCTTACAAGGCTTTGGAATAGAAGTTTCCAAGTCTGTTCTAACTTTCCGTTCAATAGTCACCGGAGCAAGCGGCGCCTCCGGCGATAACGCCGCATTACGATCAATCCCCGTCACTGCAACCGTCGCCATTTCACCAAATTCTCAAACTACAGCAACTTCTCAAACCACCCTTTGGTACTTAAAAAATTCCAAGAAAATACCAAAAGCGTGACAATAAACAAGAAATGTGAAGAAAGACACAAAGAGATCAGCTCAAGAACTTCGTGGCGTAGTGCATGCATTAGAGCATTTGGATTATATAAACTAAGTGGAATTGCATGCATGCAATTTACACCCAGCAAATGACAGTTGTTGCTGGTTTTGACACGTATGCTTCAGAGGTGTCATTGTTTTTCTGACTTGACAGCTTAAAAGTAAGGGTAGATGTAAAGTAGCTTGAGTCGGCGTCATCTAAATCTAATACTTTTAATACGAAATATAAATTTATATATAAAAATTTACTAAAATTACTATAAATGGATAGATCTGAATTCATAAATATAAAAATAGAATAAATTCAATTCCAAAAATCTTATAGATTACATCTATAAAATTTAAATTCTGAATATGATAGAATGGATTTTTTGGATTAATTGTCATCTTCTTTGGAAAAAGCTTGTAACGCTTAGCCTCTGACATAAGACTTCTTGGATTTACATAATTCAATGCTGAACTGTACAAACATTTTCTCGAACAAGCAAACACAAGTATCTTTTGTATATATTAGTGAGTGTTAAATTTTTAAAAATTTATATNAGATTCATGTATATTTTTTAGTTGTTGACGAAAATAATATATACATAGTAATTAATATTAATCATAGATCCAATGTTATTTGTTTTTAGTCCTCTTGTATTTAGAAAAATATAGATCGGCTTGCGACTTTGAATAATTTTAATACCGAGTTTTAATTTTGTGAGTTAAAAGTTTTCTTTTCTATTTTTTTTAGGACAAATACCAATAAGATTTGCTGCCTTCAACTTTTAGAAAATACAATTCCACCAACCAAAACTTAATTAATGTTTTTAGTAAACTTTGTGACTTTATTGATTACTGCAACTTTTCTACTAATAATCCGTAATTGTAACATTTAAATTGCTGAGATTTCTGACATTGATCAATTATTTGTTTGGTTGGAGTTATGTTTTTGTTGTTAAACTAAATGTTTCATAACACTAATAATTCATCATCTTTCTATCTATTTAAAGGCTCTTGAGTCTTGATTACTAATTCTTGAGTCTTGATTACTAATAAATATTTCCTCCGTTTTAAATGATTTGTCGTATTTCTCTTTTACACATCTTTAAAGAAAATATTAATTAGAATAAATTTTTGACTATATACCCTTATTTATGTCTTTAATATAATCTCTCTTCATTGAACATTTACTTTATTTATGTGTCATCTCCATCTTCAAGAATAATTACTACTAAGGATAAAATGAAAAAAATAATTAATTTTATCTTAAACTTCTAAAATGATAAATAATTGAAACATCTATTTTTAGACATTATGATAAATAATTTGAGAAAGAGTGAGTAGAAATTAATTCTTCATATTAATTGTATATTGGCTTATTTTAACTCTAATTCCCTGTCTAACTTTACTTTTAGAATAATCAATAGTACTGGAAGAACCAAAATAGTATTTCTTTTCTTCAAATTAAAAAGTAATAGCATTTCTTCATTTTTTGACTTTAATGTCTTGAATACAAATATAATGTTTAGTGGTTAGATATTAAAACATTGAAAATTTGAATTCCTAAAACGTAGTTTAACGTCAAAATTAGTTGTTATATTTGGTCCTAAAGATTAGGATTTTGAATTATAAAAGGAAATTTTTATTGATTTAAATGTCCTAAACATTGAAATTTTCTACTATAATAAATAAAGTGTAGTTGATTTCAAAATACTAAATATTAGAAAATTAATAAAATGACTATTCTATCCTTTGTGAATTGTATTTTTTAAGGGTAAAAAAGGCGAACGACATTTCGCTAAGGGCTTTCGTGCTTTTAATATAATATAGATTTTTCAATAAAAGTGGTGCTTAGTTCAGTTTGCACGTCTCGATTATTTTATCCAATGCATGCTATTTTAATTATACATCAAAATTTAAGTAATTAAAAAAAATCATTTAATGCACTTTTCATTTGAGTATGTTCCAAAAAAAATATTTTTTATATTTAAAACTAATTTTTTTTTATTTCTAATAAGATAATTTATAGTCCCACAAGTGTCTATGCTTTATTTTAGACCAATTTTCTTTAGTATTTTAATATCTTTGGAAAGGTCAGATTTACACTCAAACGCCAATGATGTAACTAATCCATTTTTCAAGCTACTTAAGTACAATTTTTTGAAAATTTTCGGAACTAGTATAAACATTGAAAAATTACTCAGTATTCAATCAAGTGTATCATTAAGCCTTTTTGGAACATGGATATAAGCAGATAATATTAGTCCAATTCTACAAAATACATACATTTTTTTTTTATTAAAATCAAATACCCAGGATTTCAACCCTGTGGCTTTGGGGGGTTTGGCATGACCCCTACCTTGTTTATTCATAGCACAATAATACAAAGAAGGGGGACATAAACTGTTGGGTCCAAACGCACACTCACGCAAGTATACGTGGTCGTCAAGTAATAGAGTAATGAGTAGAGTATCGCTCCCACGAAGACCTATGATTAACTTTCGACTGATTCTAACTCAAATGCCTTATTGATTCAAAAGATTTCTCACAAAATAGATAATTTACTAATTTAATACCTAAAAATTATAAAGTAATGAAATAACTAGTTATCAACCAAAACAGTTAAGCAATTTCGGATAACAATCAGTAGAGAAGGATATTCCAGGGTTACGGGTTAACTCACAATCGTGTTACGTTCTTGACTTAAAATGACTAATTGATTTATCTAGGTTGTTGATTGACAGGGTTGATATTACTCATAAGAATCTGTCGAGTTCTTACTCGCCTGTTCAAGCTAACTTAATGCCTATATGTCTATGGAGTTAAGATTAACAAGAATGCATTTACACTTCCTGTATTTCAACCGAGCAAGACAATTAGGTATATTTCTATCCTAATTGCAAATCCGTTCTCCGACGCCCGGGTTCAAGAACTTGCTCTATTTAATTCTATATGCAATCTAGAATTCCTACTTTTGAGTTCAACTCTAGATTCGTAGATTGTAATTCACTGTTAGCTACTCAGCAAATTAATTAAGAACAGAATTAAATAAACAACCCAATATGATAAAATCAACTTTGTCATATTAAACTTCAAACATCAACATTCATGTATCACCCATAACCCTAGAATAACAGGGTTCTTAGCCACTCATGTTCAGGCAATCATCAAAAATTCACAAGAGTGCATAAGAATCAATAAAAGAAGGAGAAAATAAGAACTCAAGACGAATTCTGTGGTTTCCAAGCTTTGTCGTGGCTTTTTCCCTCTCCTCAATATGTTAGATGACCTAAAGGAGGCATTTTTGGCTTATATATTGCGTACAAAAGTCGTGGGCCAAAGTTCTCCTATTCCTAGTCCAAATCGGCTTCAGGGATTGATGCTAGGGTGGATGCGACGCATCCTCAGGGATTGATGCTAGGGTGGATGCGACGCATCCACCTCGTCCTCCATTTCTCAGCTTTGCATCCCTTTGTTCCTCCATCTCAGCTTTGCATGTGAGGGTGGATGCGACGCATCCACCCTTTGTTCCTCCATCTCAGCTTTGCCCAGGTGTGGATGCTAAGGCGGATGCTATGAGCCGTCTTCACTTCTAAGGGTGCACGAAATCTGATATTTTTCTAGATTGGATGCGACGCATCCAATCCCTCTTCCTCTGGCTAGAGCACCTTTTCTTCATATTTTTGCACTCCAAACACCTTAAATCATCACACACAACTCAATTAGTCATAAAACCAATAATTAAACCATGTTGGGCATTTTAAAGATCAAATAGCATCAAAAAGCGGTTAAAA